GCGTTCAGAGCACTGGCGATGTAAATGCTGCTCCATGGCGGTGGCTGACTTAATGAACAGCAGGGCTCGCAGCCCTCTGGCAGCACTTAAACTTTAAAACATCTATTATTGAGGCGTGAGAAAAAAAACAGAGTGGCCAGCGCTGACCCCTCTCTCATCCCTCTCTTTTTATATCTCTAGTCACGGGGGCAGAGAGTTGATGTTGTTAAAAGATAAAAGTGCTGCACGTAGTGTTTTCAAAATTTCACTGCATCACTGTCAGATTCATTTGTGGCAACTTGTGCAACAAACTAGTTCATTACGTGAGGCTGGTATGGCTTGACCTCCTGGGACCCAGCCCATTGAAAATGTCCACTGTAGTGGACATTTTGTTAACATGCATCTCCTTTTACTCTTTTGAGCTACTCTATCAATCCCTGATGTACTGTACAGANGGTAACCCCCCCCCCACCTTATCACCTTAATCTCCTTCTAGAGCACCATTGTGTTCTTTTTAACACCACGTTGGTGTGAAAGGGGCATGAGAGATGTTTGGTTAAAAAGAACACAATGGTGCTCTAGAAGGAGATTAAGGTGATAAGGTGGGGGGGGGGTTACCTTGGTTGATGATTGGCTAATGGTTACACAACCCAAAAAATCGTTATGACATCATAAAGTGGGCAAAATCTGATCAGCTCATTTTCAGACAGGTTTTTATATAAATGGATCAGGACAAAAAGAGAGGGGGTCTTTTTTCCTGAAACTTTCAGAATCTCTTTACACAGAGGGGACACATGTTGATGTAGAAAAGACATGAAAAAGTGGATTTTGCAAAATAGGTGACCTTTAAACCAACATCCCAATGTCAATGTAACAACTACAACAACTAAGAATACAAATGATTAGACTAACTAAGCCATGCTGTATTTAAAAGATAAATGAGAAAGAAATATAATCTAAAGAGTACTAAGTAGTAGGTAGACATGTTGGGGTGTGGTTTGCGAGGAAGGCTCTCATCTCTCTCACCATGATTGGCAGCAGAATGATGATAGCTAATAAGTAAGAGGCTGACATTTGGATAGATAAGATGGAAATTCAGCCTGGGTCCAAGGTGTTTTTGTAATTGCCCCAGCCAGTAGCCTGTGATTGCAGCTAGCCTGAGTGGTCGGAGCTGTGCCTCTGGGGCTCAGAGAGGACATTTTCAGCTACAGACGAGCCCACTGAGATTAAGTGCCGGGGCCAGACGGGGGTCAAATTGCTTTTAAAATGCCATGGGTCTCAAACGGAACAGTCAAGAAACACGCCATGACTCTCTCAGGTGTTAAGCGGAGATTGGAGAAGTGGTTGTGATCGTTATATTAATTGTATAACTAAAATCCTGCTTGAGATTTATACAAGCCTTTCAAGAAACATGTAGGGAAGTAGGGATTTAAATGTGTCTTAAAGGAACCACCACTGGATAAAAGACAACTGTAGTAAGAAGTTTCCTCAGGAAACAGATCCTTTGCACCCTAACTGACCTGTTACTGGAGATGCCTATGTAACAAATATGTGTTCTGGCCATGTTACTGCATAAAAATGCGCCCTATTGTGCTTTTCGGGGGTTTTCCCTTTCTTGTAGTGTTTTATATAGTTTTTTGTGAATGGTCTGCAAAAGCTAAAATCTCGGAGTTCACCTCAGGGGGTGCTTATCTTCTACACAATCCCCCCTCCAAAATAAAGCACTTTTTGAACATTGATGCATGTAAATATGTCACAGTAGAGGCACACATACAAGTATGAACCTAAACATGAACAGAATAGGGCCCCTTTAATTGAATACAATGCTTTAAGATTGCAGGGGCCTGGAAAAGGACTCTAATTGTATGCCATTGCATGACATTCTACATCTGAGAAGCTAATTTACATGCAAACTGTACTTTTCCCCAGTTAATGTTCGTGTGGTTCAAAAAGCAAAAGTGCAGGACGGGTTAGATGTGTTCACTGTTTCTAAGTTAGATAGAGAGTACAATTTATGTGTTTGTGTTTTAAAGTGTTTTACAGAGCAGGTAGAGTAACATACATAGCATCATTCTGTGATAGCAGAACACCACATTTAATTCATGCATGGGCAGTAATGTGTTACGTGTTTGCTCGAGCAACATATTGCTGCCAGTGTCCAGTGTTCTGAGACGGATTGTCAGTACACATCAAGTATAGCGATTTAATAAACATGCTTGGTTCTCCCTCTGCTACTATTACTTTTAAAACTATATCCGACTAGGAAACAAGTTCTTAAAGTTTTCACCTAGATAGCCAGTCATTTGTTTTCGGTTTAGGGGGTGAGTTTTGTACTATAGGAGAAACAATATAAACAATAACCAAGTGTAGAAACAACAGAAGTAAAGATGAATGAACGAACTTACAGGCTTGTTTTTAACAGATGAATACAAACCAAATTCAGCACAATCTGTTCCCTAACCTTTAAAGTCGTATCAGATATTCCCTATCAGACCCCCTAAGAGACGAAGTTGACAGTCATGTTGGAAATGCTCTTTGGTGGACCAGGTTCTCTTCAGACCCCCTGCTCACATCTGACCATCCGCAGAGCTTTGAGGCTGCAGCAGGTTCAAAGAGCAGGAAGTGCCAACACTCCTCTGTATGTCCAGGCCTTTCAGCTTCCCTTGTCAAAGAGCACCTCTGCTCTACTACAAAGACTTTGGGGCTGGCCCAGGTGCGGGGGCAGGAAATACAAAAAGAGATCTACAAAGGGTGCTGTTCCTCCTGGTGTGTCCGAGGCCAGAGGATGAACAGAGGCAAGCGCTGCGGCAGAATGAGGGTCAGGTTGGGCATCGCTGAGTTTGGAGAGTCAACAGGCTTCTTTCACTTTGTTGGTGACTGCACTATACTGGAGGCAGGGACGAGGTGCAGTGGAAATGAGACTTTTTAGGGTATTGATGATTCGAACGAACAGGGGAACTCAGGAGTAGAGAATCAGACAAAAGCAGCAACAAATGATTATTTTAATTTTCTATCAAACCATCTATTGTAAGGGTGTTAAAATGAAACAAAGGCCATATTCAACCCAAACTGAATTTAGCTAAATGTATGTTGCCTTGCCAATTCACACGTTCCTATTTATTAAACTTGTACCCACATTAAGAAATATCAGCCTGACATTTATATTGCATTTGCAGTCAGTTGAACGGGAAGCAGTATCATAAAATGTTCTTGCCAAAGAGTGTTTGCTTTTTTCGCTTGATGAATGAGCAAAATGTATATTAGTTCCATCTTTTTTGTATTAATTGATAAAAGCTGAAACTGACTCACCAATGTTCAAAAGTTTAACATTTAAATTGAATTTGTGCAGTTTTTGAAATATATTGCAATTCAGATATGATTTCCTTTATTACAGGGAATGATCATTTTTGAAATCTTATTCATAATTTAAAAGTTTTTAAATGATCTGTATCAAAAAATGATTTATTAATAAGTCTGTAGAATACAGATTGTAGGTTGGGACTTCACCGCAGCTCTGACACACATCTCACATTTTGCCTTTAAAAAATATTGCGCTTACATTATTTGGATACAACACTCGTTCAAATTGTGATTTAGATATAATTAAGTGCAGATCAAGTTTAAAAATATAACGATGATCATAGAAATCAAGACATAAAATATCATAACTTTAGGTCGAACAGTCAGGAACATAAAGAGACAAATCGGGGGGAAAACCCATGTACAACAAGATAGAAAATGTGAGACGTCTTTGTTTTAAATTGAAGGAACAGGCAGGCAGACACAAATCTGCGGCCTCCCAGGGAAACAGGCTGACTGTCTGCTGTATCGATGTCTCATTGATTCAGGCTTTGTGTCTCACAATCGCCCCCCCCCTCATCTCCTACAGAGCTACTTAATATGTTTGAGGGGCTCCGGCGCTTCTCATCTGTAAAAGGCAGAGCGCTTTTTCTTTTACCCACATTAGAGGTGGTGTTGGTGGGGGGGGGGAAGGAGAATGGGTCGGTGTGGGGCGGGGTGGTGCTGCTCTGAAGTCTGCCTGGTGGGACCGGAGCTTTATTAGCTGGAAAGGAAGCCCGCGGAGTTGCGACGGGCCTGAGAACTTGGATGAGAGGAAGCTTTTGAAACTTCCCATATCGGCATTAGAGAGATGAGCTGCTATTCAGCGCTCGCTCCCAGCCGGCACGTCCGGAAGTACACACTTTGAAAAAAAAAAAACTTGAATATCCAAGTAAGAAAACACACACACACTGGTGGATTTGTGTGCACATGCATTCGTTCATATCACACACACACACACACACACACACACACAG